CAAATATTTTTGGCCGGACAAGCCCAACCCAACCTCACATTACACACCGGCGCTCAAGCCCAGCCACGTGCGGGTCCAATGATTTTAGCCCAATTTGCCCATAACATCTCCGTGCATGTATGTGGTTATTTTTTGGTCCAATGGGTCTAGCCTCAATTTGCCCATAACCTCTCCCTTCTACAAACTTGGAGTGCCCCTTGGGGCCCTCCCCAAGTTATAATTCCAAGCCTTATAAACCCACTCAATGTTTCCCACCAAATCAATATGGGACAAGCCATTTTCCAAATCTTAAGGAATTTTCACCAAAAACTCCATTTCCATGGAGCTCACTTTGGTTTCAATTTCCTGTTCACTCGATAATGGTTTTGAGCAACCAAATATAACACGTGAATCACAACGCGGCATAGAATGCGTTACCACTTAGACCTGCGAAATTCGGCGCATGGGTCCCATCTAAAAATTAAGCCAAAGTTTAGAAAAAAAATATATTTTTCCAAATTTTCCCAAAACCATTTCTAACAATCCCCCACATGAATGGAATTTGATGACAACGGAAATGCAACAATATGCAGAATTTGTCGAAAGAGTATAAATCGAAAATATCTTGCATCAGGATAGGTAGCTTTCGACCTTAAACCTTCCATAGTGATAACCTATCAGACTTACTAGCTAACCAATGGACGCGATGCCTTGAATTGTTCAGCCGTTTGTGTAAGCCAAGACAATAGATTTCACACAAAATATTTTCTAACACATCGTGATTCTCACTGTTGTGTTCATTTTGGCCTTGAATGCTCCTAGTTTTCATGAGTGCTTCTAGAGAATTTACCCTCTTGATTCTCATAGAACCGACCCCAGTTCAACACTCATATAGGTGATTCTTATTGTGAGTATCTCCTTATACTCGTCTTGATTTTTATGCCTAAATCAAGATATAAGTAATCATTAAAAGCAAAGCTTATCCTTAGACCCTTGCATACAACACATGTTGCAGATATCACTCTCACCATAGGAATGGATAGGGAATTTTAATCCCTTGGTGATTTTTGGCGAGCCACACATAACTTAGTTGTCCCTTTGAACTTAGTTCTTGGGATCTCTAGTCATACAAATAGGGTTACCATTATAATGACTCTTATGTAATAGGCTTTAATCCCATCCCCTTCGATGAACAATACACTTGTTCTTTTGTCAAACCTCTTTGTTAATGGATCCACAATATTCTATTTAGATTTTATATAATCTATTGAGATTATTCCATTTGACAGAAATTGCCTTACGGTATTATGTCGATGATGAATATGTCGCGACTTACCGTTATACATATGATTATGTGCCCTGCCTATTGCAGATTGACTATCACAATGAATGCAAATAGCTGGCACAGGTTTTGGCCACATTGGAATGTCTTCTAAGAAGTGACGAAGCCATTATGCTTCTTCTCCTGCTTTGTCTAAAGTAATGAACTCAGATTCCATTGTGGATCGTGCAATGCATGTTTGTTTCATGGATTTCCAAGAAACAGCAACGCATCCCAGAGTAAAGACATATCCACTAGTGGATTTTGAATCTTTAGTATCCGATATCCAATTGGCATCACAATAATCTTCGAGTACTGCTGGATATCGAGTAAAGTTCAAACCATGATCACGGGTAAATCTTAGATATCTAAGAACTTGAATGATCGCTTTCCAATAGTCTTATCTGGGGTTACTAGTGTACCTACTTAATTTACTGACTGCATAAGCTATATCAGGACGAGTACAATTCATTAGATACATTAGCTTCCAATAATTTTGGAGTATTTTAACTGAGACACCACATCACCTTTATTTTTTGATAAATAATTACAGATGTCTACCAGTGTTCTAGCTACATTCAAATCATCCTTGATAAATTTATCAAGAATTTTCTCAATATAATGTGATTGAGATAATGCATATCCGTCAGATGTTTTAGTAATTTTCATTCCTAATATTACATTTGCGACTCCCATATGTTTCATATCAAATCTTTTGTCTAGCATTTGCTTAGTTGATTTGATCATGTTTTGACTGCTTCTAATGATAAGCATGTCATCCACATAAAGATAAACTATGACATATCCTTGGTCAGTGTTTTTAACATAGACGCACTTGTCACATTCATTTATCTTAAATCCATTAGTAAGCATTGCATGATCAAATTTTCATGCCATTGCTAAGGTGTTTGTTTTAATCCATAAAGAGATTTTACAAGCCGACAAACTTTCTTTTCTTGCTCTGGTACTACAAACCCTTCGGGTTGCTCCATATAGATCTCTTTATTTAGATCACCATTTAAGAAAGCTGTCTTAACATCCATTTGATGTATTTCTAAATTATACAACGCTGCTATGGCAATAAGTATGCGGATAGATGTTATTCTTGTCACAGGAGAATATGTGTCAAAATAGTCCAAACCTTCCTTTTGTCTTTAACCTTTTACTACAAGTCTTGCTTTATACTTGTCTATTGAACCATCTGCTTTCATTTTTCTCTTGAATATCCACTTATATCCAAGAGGTTTAGAACCAGGTGGAAGATCCACCAATTCGAAAGTATGATTTTGCATAATGGATTCAATTTTATTATTAACAGCCTCTTTCCACAAAGGTACTTCAGGACCTGTCATTGCGTCCTTAAAGCTTTGAGGTTCATTTTCTAACAAGTATGTCAGAAAATCTAGACCAAAGGATTTTTATATTCTCGCTCTCTTACTTCGTCTTGGTTCGTCATCAGTTAAATCCTGTTGGTCGAGACCATTACTAGTCCCTTATGTTTGATTGTCATTAGTCTCTTGACTTTGTGTACAAACATAAGTTCTTTTTTGTGAACTTAATTCATGTCCTTTTTTGTAAGGAAAGACATGTTCAAAAACACAGCATTCCTTGACTCTATAATAGTGTTCACATTTATATCAGGTATTTCTGATTTATAAGTCAGAAACCGATATGCACTACTATTTTGAGCGTAACCAATAAACACACAATCCACTGTTTTTTGTCCAATCTTAGTCTTTTTAGGAATAGGAACTTCAACTTTTGCCAAACACCTCTACACCTTTAAGTATTTGTAGGAAGATGGTCGACCTTTTCTATAATTCATAAGGAGTACTGTTAGATTTCTTGTGGGGTATTCTGTTAAGAACATAATTAGTAGACAATATTGCTTTCCCCCACAAGTTCTGCAGTAAGCCTGAACTTAGTGACATGGCATTCATCATTTCTTTAAAGGTTTTATTCTTCCTTTCAGCAATTCTATTTTGCTGTGGAGAATAGGGTGCTGTAGTTTGATGAATAATGCCATGTTGTGCACAAAATTCATTTAATGGTGCATCATATTCACCACCCCTATCACTTCTAACCATTTTAATGTTTTTCCAAGTTGATTTTCAACTGTAGAGTTTAAACATTTCTAAGGCTTCATCTTTGCTTCTAAGTAAGTATACATAACAATATATTGTGCAATCATCGATAAATGTTATGAAATACTTTTTGCCTCCTCTAGTTTGAACAAATTTAAGATCACATACATCTGTATGAATTAATTCTAGAGGTTCGGTTTTCCTTTCAATCGATTTAAATGGAGCCTTAGTTAGTTTCGCTTCTACACAAATTTCACATTTGTGATTAGGATCAATTTCAAACTTTAATATGTAATCCAAACCAATTAATCTACGCAAAGCATCAAAATTCACATGTCCTAATCTATCATGCCATAAATTCGACTCAAGAATATAAACAAAAGATGTGTTATTCTTATTAATAGCAACTTTTGGTAATACCGTTATTACATTCAATTTCAAGAGACCATCACTCATATATCCTTTACCAACATACATATCACTCTTTAATAATACAAATTTATCAGACTCAAATACAAGTCTAGAACCATTTTTACTTAACAAAGAGCTAGAAACCAAATTCTTCCGGATGTCAGGTACATGCAGTACGTTGTTGAGGGTAAGTTGTTTCTCTGATGTCATCTTCAAGATCACCTTTCCTTGTCCAGCCACGGTAGAAGTAGAAGAATTTCCTATGAAAAGTTGTTCACCATTTGCAGCCTCATTGTATGTAGTGAACATCTTCTTGTCCGCACAAATATGATGAGTTGCCCCAGTGTCAATGTGACAACCCCGCCATGTATAATATTTCATATTTGGTTAATTAAGGAGATTTGAGATTTTAATTAGTCGTTATCCTAATTTAATTTGAGATTTATTAGAATTATGGAATCTAATTCGTATATGATTCTATTGAAAATTTATTTTGGATTTAGAATTAAGGGTCCAAATGGCTTAAGGAAGTGGAATTAAGAAGTTGAATCAATTTAATTTTAATTACGGACCCATTTGGGAGTTAATTAAATATTCAATTCAGTTTAGTAAAATTGAGATTCGATTAATTAGGTCCGAATTGGAGATAATTAAGTTAATTAACTTATGAGGATTGAGAATGGTGATTATTACGAATTAAATTTATTTATGGAGTGTCCAATTTGAATATGCAATTTATTGACGGAACTTTGGAGTCTGATTGGAAATTAAAGGCCTAAATGATTTGGGGAATCAAAATTGATGATGACAATACGTTTAATTTAATATTTGGAGCCTTTTGGGAGTTTGATTAAAAATCTAATTCAGATCGATAATTTTAAATATAATTAATTGGGTTCTAAAGGAAGTCGAATTAGATGAATTAAATCATGTGGAATTTATGATTAGTAATAATTAATTTAATTATGTGTTAATCAAGATTTATTAAGAATAAGTGTTATTTAATTAAATTAATCTTAACCATAAATTAAATTATAGAATGCTTTAGATTTTGAGAATATATGTGGGTGTGTGTGCTGAGAAGTCTGAGAGTGTGTGTATTATTGTTGTGCTGGAAGCTTAAAGTGGGTGCACGTGTGCTTGTGCAATGTTAAGAATTGAACATGTGTGCGTAAGTGTTGATAACCTTCAAGTTTTATATGCGTGCATGAGGAGAGAGAATAGGCAATCTATTTATTATTTGGTGAGAGCATTTTTGTGCTTCATCCTTGTTTTGATAGAACCGTGAGAGACGAAGAGAACCGTGAGTGATCAATTCCTTAGATCCTTGCGGGGAATTTTGAAGAAGATTAAGGAAGCTAGAGAAGAAGAAGATTTAAAGGGGAAATCAAATCTAATTGCTGAAATTAAAATTTGAGGTATGAAATTCAAGCTTGATTTATGTAGGATTTTCTTTTTATGCTTGAGATTGAGAAGGGTTTGGAATCATGTTCATGAAATTAGAGAGAAATTGGGTTTGAGCAAGAAATGAGTTACATACATAATTATGGAAAATTATGTTAAGTTTCATCATTTTAATTTAATTTTGGAAATTGCATGCATAAGAAATTCATCAATCAAGAACTCTAGATGAGGAATAAAGCTCAAATCTTGTAGATAAATTATCTAGAAGTTGAAATTAAGAAGTAAGTAGATTCAATTTCCATGCAATTAAAAAGAAATTAGCAAATTGATAAAAGTTGGGTCTTGCATGTTCAATCAAGATAGGTTGAAAAATATGAGTTATGGTTCTTTAAATTTGTTATGTATGAGTTTAATTTTGGGAATCATGCTTGAATTGAGTCCCATAAATTACATGCAACAAGGATTATTTGAAGATTTGATCCATGCAATGGGGATAGGTTCAAATTTATGGAAGTTAAATTGGGAATTAATTATGTTGAGTTTGATTTTTGTAATCTTACATGAGTTTGAGTCTAATCTCTACATGCATGAACATATTCTTCAATTTTGAGACTCTAATTGTACATGCATCATGGATTTAAAATAACTGATTTCATGTTTTGATGTAATGAGAATTAAGCTTTGGAAAATGATGGGTTTATGAACAAAGAACTTAATTTGTAAATTAAAGGAGTTTTGATGTAATTGATTTAAAATTGATCATGTTTGATGAAGATGAGCATCAATTGTGTTATTTAAGTTGAAAATGAAACCTATCGCACATGCATGTGAAATTCAAAGTGATATGGAAATTAATTTGCATGAGTTTTCAGGATATGAAGTTGGTATGGGTTGTCAAGAAAAATGTGAAATAATTTGGGAATTGAATTATGATTTTGGATAAATTAGACTTAATTTTCTTATGGCCTCATATTGTATAAAGACTTCCATAATTTTGTATCAAGAACATGAGTTTTAGACCCTTTGAATACTAAGTTTGAGCTTCAAATGCAATTATGGAAATTCCAGAATTCGGCATGTCCACTCGAGTGGGAAAAGTGCCGCTCGAGCGTGAAATGTTGGCTTCCAGTACTTTTGCAGATCAAAGGGGTCCGCTCGAGCGGCCAAATCCGCGCTCAAGCGGAGAGCCCTATTCCTGAAATTATGAAAAATGGTTTTGTGTTTTGTTTTCCGTTCTCTTTCATTTCTAAACACTGTTAGGAATACATTGGGCTTTGTAAATCACCTAAAGGGTAAAGAAAGAAGCCTAAGAGAAATAAATAGATTAAAGAATGGATTGAATTGTTTGTGACCCAATATGTGTTATGAATTGTGTAGGTTCGAGCATAAGGACGAATCCACCGGCAGAACACTGTGAGTAATATCTTAGTAAAGATATGTTCAAGTATGTTGCTTTCCCAAACATTACTTCTGTGCATGCCTTACGGATTTGTATGCTTGAAATAAGAATGAGTATTCTAAGTGTCAGTCTTTTGCCTAAGACTAAGTGAATACAAATAGGATCATCATCATGAGCATGAAACACACATAAATACGTTTGACATGAATGATTGGGCCAAAGGCCGTCTGACATGAATGACTGGGCCAAAGGCCGTCTGACATGAATGATTGGGTCAAAGGCAGTTTTACATGAATGATAGTTTGACGTGAATGATTGGGCCAAAGGCCGTTTGACATGAATGATAGTTTGACGTGAATGATTGGGCCAAAGGCCCGTTTGACATGAATGATAGTTTGACGTGAATGATTGGGCCAACGGATTGGGCCAAAGGCCATCTGACATGAATGATAGTTTGACATGAATGATTGGGCCAAAGGCCGTTTGACATGAATGATAGTTTGACATAAATGATTGGGCCAAAGGCCGTTTGACATAAATGATTAGGCCAAAGGCCGTTTGACATGAATGATAGTTTAACATGAATGATTGGGCCAAAGGCCATTTGACATGAATAATAGTTTGACATGAACGATTAGGCCAAAGGCTGTTTGACATGAATGATAGTTTGACATGAATGATTGGGCCAAAGGCCGTTTGACATGAATGATTGGGCCAAAGGCCGTCTGACATGAATGATAGTCTGACATGAATGGCTGGGCCGAAGGTCGTTTGACATGAATGATTGAACCGAAAGTTGTTTGACACAAACAAATTGGGCCCGAGGTCGTTTGGTAAGAGCAAATTGGGCCTGAGACCGTTTGATATGTTTGGGCCTGAGGCCTTTTGATGTATTAGATAAAAACTTGAATGGGCCTAAGGCCGTTAGATATGTCTATTACGCATTTCATTCATGTAACTTCTTTATTTTGATATTATTCACTGGGTTATCGCTCACTCTCATTTATATGTGTATAGGTGAGCAAAGAGTTGACCAAACCCAACCTCAGTGAAAGATATGAAAGGAAGTCAAGTTTTATGGAGTTAGCCTGCACGTCTCACGCACGAGACTTTATTTTTGTTCTTGTGTTCACACTTTTGCTTGGCCGGTGAATACGTTGGATCATCCATGTATATAAGTTTGTTTTGTTTGACTGACTGCATGTTTTGGAGTTCCTAGATGTATAAGATATTAACTCTGTTTTTATGTGTGAGATATTATGGACTATTTATGAAATGTTTCGCTTTTTTTTTTTTGGGTAAAAAAGAAATGTTTCGCTTTATCATGTAAGCACAGCTCATTGGACAAAAATTTTAAGTATGCTTCCCCTTTTGGCCCCATATGATTATTTTTAAAATATGTTTTCTGTTTGAGGTCGTAGGTAATCTAATGATTACTGGCCGGTTATGATCCTAACCTATAGGGGCGGGTTCGGGTCATGACAGTCAACCCACCATTCCTTAGGATTTCCAACCAAATTAGCCTCAGACACCACAGCAGAGAGATTGATGTCATTTTCCCCGTCAGAGATGTAATCCAATTCTGTCACATTGGCTTGATTGGTGGTCTTCTTACTTGTGCTTCCGCGATCTTTCTTAGGGCAACGGCAATTAGAAGCTCGATGTCCAGTCTTGCCACAGTTATATCATTTTCCTTTGAACTTCTTATTGCCACTGTTGTCGCCTTGTTTAGAACCATCTCCAGTAAACTTCCTCTTTTTATTATGTGGTTTGTAAACTTGTTCAACTACATTAGCCTTGCACTCAATAGGATTTTTCTCATTCCTCTTTTCAGCCTTTCAGTTATCTTTCTCAATTCTCAATCTTACAATCAATTCATCCATGGTCATCTCCTTACGTTTATGTTTTAAATAATTTTTGAAATCTTTCCAAGCCGGTGGTAACTTTTTCACTAAAGCAGCGACATGGAAAGACTCGCTAAGAGACATACCTTCAGAATGAATATCATACAAAATTATCTGAAAATTTGAACTTGAAAAATTACCGTTTGGGAGTCTACCATAACGAAGTCTAGAAATTTACCGATAACAAATTTCTTTGTGCCGGCATCCTCTGTCTTGTATTTTTTCTCCAAAGAATCCCATAATTCTTTTGTTGTTTTCAGAGGGCTGTAAACATTATACAGCATGTTGTCAAGGCCGTTGAGGATGTAGTTTCTGCACAGGAAATCTGAATGTTTCCAAGCATCTACAGCGGCAACAACTTGCCGATCACTTTCACCCTCTTTAAGTGCTGGAGCCTCTTCACGGAAAAATTGGGTCAAATTTAGAGTTGTAAGATAGAACAGCATTTTCTGCTGCCATTTCTTAAACTCAGTGCCATTAAATTTTTCCTCTTTTTCTCCATGATTTATCAGAACTTGAACATGGTTCTGGATAGGGACCGGAGTCGTTGTAACAATTGGATTTGGAGTACTACTTTCAGCAGCCATTATATCTTATTACAAAAATCAGAAAAAAAAATCAAAACACAAATTAATTTTCTAGTTATTAAAACCAGAAAATAAATTATAACACAGAATAATTTTATTTTCCTTGTTACTAAAATTAGAAAAACAAAATACCACAATAATTTTCTGTAACACAAATTAATATTTTACAATTGTTAATGACAGCAGTATATTACTACTAGTTGTCAAAGAAAATAGACAGTATATTACTACTATTTATTTTCCAACTAGAATATCACTTTGTGAAAACACAGAAAAATAAATATAATGAAGACACCAAAAAATAATCTGTCTTAAGATTGTTAGACAATCTTTACTGTATTTAAATAAATTTTTCCTCTCCACGGTGCTTTCAGAATATGGACGTCTATCTCCCAAGATAAAATGATCAATCAATGAAAAATAGCAACACTACAAAATTTTCGTACAACGAACACGCTAATTGTTTATACCCTTTCTCACAGAAATTTCGATGTAGCAAAATGCAGAGAGCAGTAGCATATTGAAAATTGGAGTGAATATCCAAATGAGGGATTGCCTATTTATATAGGTGAAATGGTGGCTGCTAGTTTTGAATTAAACAGGTACAGTACCTGTTCAATTTAAATTAAACAGATACAAATCTGTAGGCGCTGTTTGGTTTGAATTTCAAACAATTCAAAAACCTATTTTGGATGGATTTGAATTTGAACAGATCCGAAACTGTACAAAATTTTTGAAGAGATGCAAACCAAAATTTGAATTTTATTTCCAACTTGAATTTGAAATTAAAAAAAAAAAGAACAGATTTTATTTCTAAATAAATAAAATAAAATTCAAATATTTTTGGCCGGACAAGCCTAACCCAATCTCACATCACGCACCCGCGCCCAAGCCCAGCCCACCTGCGTATGTGGTTATTTTTGGGACCAATGGGTCTAGCCTAATTTGCTCATAACCTCTTCATTTTACAAACTTGGGGTGCCCCTTGGGGCCCTCCCCAAGTTTTAATTCCAAGCCTTATAAACCCACTCAATGTTTCCCAGCAAATCAATGTGGGACAAGCCATTTTTCAAATATTAAGGAATTTTCACCAAAAATTCTATTTCCATGGAGCTCATTTTGGCTTCAATTTCCCGTTCACCCGATAATGGTTTTCAGCAACCAAATATACCACGTGAATCACAACGCGGCATAGAACGCGTTACCACTTAGACCCGCAAAATTCAACGCATGGGTCCTACCTAAAATGAGGCCAAAGTTTAGGAAATAAACTGTTTTTTTCAGATTTTCCCAAAACCGTTTCTAATAGAATCATGCCTCATAACCAAAAAGGCAAGACGTCCACACTAGAAATCTGTCTTCTACTAGGACTTAGACAATCATCTACATGGAACCTAGACTAACAACCAAGCCACATAGACAACTCAAAAATTATGTCTTTACAATTTCCTATTTAATATAGATATTCTTTTAAAGATCTTCCAGAAGTCTTTCAAAAATATAAAAACAAATTTATAAAATAAAAAAAAAAGTATAACATTTTAATGTTTAAGCAAGAAACACATAAAGAGAAAAAATGACAAAACAATAGTAATAAAAAATATAAAGAGATGCATTCTTTGTTCCCCAAAAGAATAATCATTGATATGAACAGTAGCGCAACCAGAGAATTAAAATAGAATGGGCACTTATTAATTATAATTATAATTTTTTTTTTCATAATCAACAATAAGAAGATAATAATAATTTGTGAATTAATGTTAAGCACAAAAACTTAAATAAATTATTACAAAAGTATTTCACATAAAATTTTACAATTAACTTTGAGTATAATCAAACCGTTTGGCACGGTTTTTGGAACACACCTTGTTTTCTCTGTCTAGAGGGACACTGTGGTCCGAGACACCACTTTTGTGGTCGTACGCCACTTTTGGTGCTCAACAGCCAGTCTTCAGGGCACCCGGCCGCGCGCTTTGCCCCCCGAACTCTCATTTTGCATCCGTGTTGGTTCATTTTTGGCATGAACCTTGTTTTCCTTGTTTGGAAGGTGGTACAAGGGTGGGAGACCAGCATTTCCCTTGGAAACCACTTCTCTCTCCTCCAGCCGATTTTCTGCTCAGGAAACTGGTTTTCTTGGTCTTTAGGCCACATTTACTGGTCTCCCACCATACCGCTGACTTGCTTTCAATATGGAGACCACCTTTTGTGCCTGCCAACCACCTTGTTTTGTGGGAGACCACTTGCCCTGGTCGACCGACCAGGGAAAGTGGTTGGCCGACCACCTCTTCTGGTCGGCCAGCTTCCTCCTGTTTTGTCTGTCTGAGTGCATGCCAGCAGTGTCAGCTGGAAGGCACAGACTGGATCCTCTATACACGTGTATGGAGGATTTGCAACCAAGTTTTTAGCTTCTTGGAGAAGCTTTGGCTTTGAAACTCTATAAGAGAGGCCCTCCCTCTCCTTATACCAGGTTGAAAAATTGCTCGAAGGCCAAGCTTATATCTCTCTCTTTGTCTCTATATTTTAGGCTTAGAAAGCTCTTTGTTCTTGGCCTATTGCACACCACCTCCTAACCATACACCTCCACCATTGTTACTGAGTTGCTGGAGGGTTTTGAGAGGTCTCAAAAGTTGGGTTTTGGTTCAGAAAAGTTGTTGGTTTTGCTGAGCTTCAAGGTTACCTCCTTTTCCCTCTTTTTAAGTATTGTTTTGATCCTTCTCTTAGCCTCATTTGCATGCTTATTTGAGCTTTGTTGTCAACTAAAAAAAGCTTCATATTTAAGTGTTTTTCATGTTTGTTAAAGCCTCTTTTGGTGTTGAGGGCCATCTACCCTCTTGCATGCTCTATTTAGCCTTGTTTTGTGCCATGCCATAAGGCATTCGAGCTAGTCTTTGCTTGGCCTTCCTACCACTGAAATCCAGCGGATTTTCAGTGGTGATAATGTGACTTTGAGGGCCTAGATCAGAGAGGGGTGACCCTCTCTCTTGTTGTCTTGTTTACTAGCATTTTTGGCCTACCAAAGGACCATATGTTTATACCATTTGGAGGCCTAGTTCAGGCACTTTTTGGTGACTTCTAGGACCTGCCTAGGCTCTGACCATGGCTGGTTTGGTCCCCATTTGCTTGTTTCTTGCATGTGTAGAGTAATCCCTTTCATGGCTTATCAAAGGAGCATGTCATTCTTGCATGTATTGGTCTTTTTTCAGTGGGTTTTTGGCCATCATTTGGCATTCCATGACTCTATTTTTGCTTGGTTTGGTAGTCCTTCACATGCTTCGTATGCTTGTAGTGTAACTCATGTTCACTAGCTCACAATGCATGTTGTTTTAGCCCTCTACTCTAGCATATTTTGGCCATACTTCAAATTGATTTTGTTCATATTTTGGGCTGCCTTAGCTCTGTCTTGAGGCCTCTTGGTCGAAAAATGCTAGCCATGCATACTTGTTGTGTAATAGCATTGACTAGTTTGGAGGTCCCTTGCATGCTTAACTTGAGCTATTTACATGTTTTGGCATCATTGGGCATGATATTTCAGAGCTTATAGGGGTGCTACACTTCCATATTTTCCATGCTTTAAGTGCTCTTTAGAGTTGTGCATTTATGCCCTATTTGCGAGCCATTGCATGAGTTTCACTTTTGTGCCTTTCAAGGCATCATCCCAACCCATTTTGCTACTGTTTTGGGCCTGCATAGGGTCTGTTTGGGGTTGGTTTCATCATTTGAGCATTGCTTTGCATGCCTATAGTGTAATGCACTTCACTAGTTTCAATGCTTGAGCCATTCAAAATGCGTTGTGTGAGTTGTTAGGATGATTCAGAGTCATTTTGGAGTCATGTTATATGCCATTTCAGAGCTGAAA